GTCCAGGCCTTCTTCTTCGTCTTCTTCTTCTTCTTCTTCTCGCTCGTGCTACATCGAAAAGACGAGCTAAATATAGAAAGAAGTTTTGGAAAAAAAAAAAAAAAAATTAGAAGGAAAGTACGGAGAAGGAATCTTCTTCGTTTTCTTTTTTTTTTCTTTCTTTCTTTCTTTTCTTTAGAAACCCTTCTTATATACTCGTACATGTGTTGTTACGAGAACGAATAATAATAATAGTAGTAGTAGTAGTAGTGTAGTAATAGTTGTGTTGTAGTAGTCACAGTATATTAGTATTGGTGTTGTTAAATACGTGTTCGAACACTCGACGAATTTACGAGCAACACACGAGCACACACGAGCACACACGAGAGACCATCCATGATCGTGTTCAACTTTTAGGATATTAAACTTAATCGTTCTGTGTTCGTTCGAACTATAGTTTTCGTGCCGGAAATATGTTCAGATAGAAATACGCCCTTAAGGGGTTTCAACTTTTCGGTTTTTGGATAATTATTTTTCTGCATGAAGAGAACATAATAATACGTATATCTACCTACATTTATAAGTGCCTAGCGTCTGTGTGTGTTTGTATGTTTGTGTGTATCTGCGCGTATAAAATTTTTATTTCTTAGATTTTTAAGACCAAAGGGTCTTACCCAATTTTTCCTTTTTTTACAACAATTTTCTTACAAATAATACACCTTGGATTTATCGGAGATCATCTTTTTTATTAGAATATTTTTGATAGAAAAATTATTGCAAGTTAACGTAAGAGTTTTGTTTAAATTTAATAATAATAATATTAGTTTCTTTCATTTTAACTTTTTTTTTTTTTATTTAACAGGCAAACTTTCCCCACTGTTTTTAGCCCAGACACGATCACGATAATTTCACATCACCCCCCCGATAGCAATAAAATCCCATAGAAGAGGTATTCTTGCACGCGATTTTTGTTACGTCGATCAATACTGACCAATCACGACTAAGGTTGCACAAAAATGAATTATTTTCGTTTCTTCTTGGTAACCACATTTGCCAGGTGGAAAGCGTCAAAATGGCTCCCTCCCCTCCCCCCCACGTGTCTATTTACCCAGAGAAAAAGTTTGAATTATTAATAATAATAATAAAAAATCATGGCGTTTCTTAAAATCGTCTCACGGTTCTGATTGGTCGTGTCTTAAACTAGTAACGAAGAAAAAAAAAATAAATAAATATTTAAGAAATAATCAGACGACAAACGAATTGTTGGGGTTTCGTGTTAACATTTCAAATAAACAGGAATTATGAAAATACTCGATTTATATATGAATTCCCCTTTAATTGCAATACTGGTCGGGATGGGTCATTGAAACCCCTTTACCTACCCTTATATTATTTATTTATTTATTTTTCTTTTTTTGTATAACTACAGGGGGTAACTTTTGCGCTCATATTTAAAAAAGGGTATTAACTAATAGGCTTTCGTTTGAATCTACTGTAAAAATCTAACGTAAGTGTGACACGCGCGTCCCATTACCGTTGAAAAATAAAATGCCACTTGGCAAGTTCGTTAAGCTATTGTTAAGCACATGTGTGTGTGTGTGTGTGTGTGTGTGTGTGTGTGTGTGTGTGTACGTGGATACTTCAGATAAAATAGGGAAAAACTTGTTCAACATTTTTATTTATCTAGATGTAAATAACTAGATTATTTATTATCTTCAAAAGGTATGTTAAAAATACGTTGGAATAAAACGACAGTTAAGGGAAGCTTTTTTTATTTTTTTTTTTATTATTTGAAATTTATTTGTGACCATTTGAAATCACGTGAACACGTTTCTTATATTTCTTTTTTTAAATATACAGTGTATACAGTATAGGACTGATAACTAATAGGGCAGTCAGAAATTGGTTTGTAAAATTCCGTTCTTGAGATACGATCTTAAAAGATGAACCGAGTGCAGGACGTATTTCCAACTTTGATGAACCTTTTAAAGATAATATTGGAGCAAAATTCAATAGATACGTTGAACAAATACAAAGAGTGCAAAAAAAACACCATGAAAGGTGTCTTGCACTTATCAGTCGCAGAAACACCATTCTTTGTCTCATAAAAAAATGTAAATTATTTATGACTCGACCTAATATATTCGAGTAGGGAAAGTATTAATTAGGTTAGTTAATAGAAAGAAGGATTATATATTGACAGCCATCAATTTCTTTCTATCCAGGTGTAGAAACTGTTCTCCATGTAAATCGATAGGTTCAGTTAATTCAATTGCGAGTTGAAAACCATCCGTTTGATTATGCGTGTCTGAACTAGGGCGATAGGTATAATCACCATGGAATATTTTACATTCTATGTATGTGTAATGCTCATATTACATATACACGGGGGTTCCAAAAAACCATACAATATTTATATGGTATATAGGATACATATAACTATATACCATATACTTTTGTTGTATTTAATGATTAAAATTCATTATTTTGAAACACCAAAAGTAAGCACAAATTAATTAGAAATAGAATTCATAATAAAAAATAATATTTCACGTGTATATTTAACAAACTTATTAAAACATCTATCATTTTCCTAATGTATAAAAAAAAAAAAAACAGAAATGAAAAGAAGAAGAAGAAGAAGAAGAATAAAAAAAAAAGGTGAAGTTATGCTGTCGAGCGTCTGCTCTTATCTTTAGGGGGTCTGTAAACTGTGCCTAACATGGGGGTGAGTTGTAGGAACCATATATACGGTTAATTACAACACACGCGATGTTTTCTAGAGGGTCTTCCGAGTAGTATATATCTATATATATATATAGATACATGGGGGTATATGAGGAATAACCATAGCAGCTGGTGCGTAATTTTAATGGCTGTCATCCCCATAACCCTACGGTCAGTTTCGATAATACCAACTAATACTCTTCTCTCTCTCTCTCTCTGTTTCCCTATAACATTTTTAGCATGGTCTGCACGATATACCGTTAAATCGAAAAATCGACAAACTATTCCCCATATCGATGGTGTCTGTTACTTCTTCCTCCTACGCGTTTCAATAATGGATTTCCGACCGTTACACCATCAAGAAATCCGATTAAATGTTCGGTTAACTAATTGTGAGAAAATAAGCCAGTACGGGAAGTGATGTCAATAATTGTTCGTTACTATACTTGTGTGGGAATATTCCCACAATGTTGTATTTCAAAGGAAACCATAAAATAAAACTAAGCAAATACGGAAAATAACATTTTTAACGGTTAAATGTTTTCTATTTTTTTTTTTTTTTATTGTAGCAAATAATTATTAAAATTGTTCGAATTTTATTATGAAAATGAAACAATCGAATTTAACATTTATTCATTTATTTGAAACAATATTATTTATAACAAAAGATGTTTTAGAGAAATATATTTTTGGAATATTATATTTTGATAAGATAAGAAAAAGATATATATATAATAATAATAATAAATAGATCACAGCGAGGACAGAAACCCATGTTATTTCGTTGTCAACCCCGTATGGCATTCTCGTGTACTAACATGAAGAGACCACCATGGCACGCGACCAGGTGGGATCATGCGAGAGAATGTTCATTACAAAATGCCATACACTCTCTCTTTCTCTCTTATCTGCTATATAATTTTCTCAAATGATTCTATTTTCTCGCTATCCACGTGCTATTTGCTATCCGATCATGCTAAACCTATTATTAAAATGATAGGAGATAATTATTACTTATGTTAAAGTCATATTCTTCTTTATCCACGTGTCTAACTTTTTGTCTATGACAATTTAACAGTAATTATTTATTTATTATTTTTGTCATCATAAAGCTAAATAAAAAAATATATATATATAATTATTAATATATTTATTTATATATTTATATATTTTATAACAATTATATATATTATTTAATTAGTCTGTTAGGAGTTAGGGATTAGGAATGGAAATAACAAAGAAAATTTCAAAGCAAAGAAAAAAAAGAACAACTTTATAAAAAGCAATGTGGATTTATTTTAATATTATATTCTTTCGCATGTAAAACTTAAATAACTAAATTGACTAGAATTTTGTTTCTAATTCTACTGCTGGTCAATTATGAACATGGCTTTTTTTTCTCTCCTTTCCATTCGCACTTCTACTCCTCTCTGTCACCGCTTCTTTCTTTCTTTCTTTCTTTCTTTCTCTTTTTTTTTCTTACGTGGTAAGATAAAAAATAGTTAGATAGATAGATTAGAATCTTTGGAGGTGCTGTATCGTTGCTCCTAATAACGTGGAACGAACAGTTTCAGGCTTTCAGTGGATTATTCGTCTGTTTTATTTTGTTTGTTTGTTTTTTGTTTTTTTTTTTTGTGTTTTTAAATTATTTTATACAACGAAAGTACGTGCGTGTATGTGTGTGTATCGTTATAATATAATTAATTAATTCATTATTATATAATAATTATTCTAATAATTTTTTTATAATCTCTCATACAAAACGATCAAAAATATTTCAGATCGTCGAGAAAGAATATTATTATCGAATTTAGGATGATTTTATTTTTATTTTTTATTTTTTTTATAGCTGCCACGATCACGACTTTCATGATAATGATTGACGATCCACTTGAAACCTCCATTTTAAAATCACGTTTCACTTTTTTAATTCATTATTCCTTTTTTTTTTGTTTGTTTTTTCTCTATCTTCTTTTTTGTTTCTTTAACATAACATATTTTTTTTCTATATATATATATAATATATCTATTTTTTTAGATTTTTATGTAATGAATTATTTACATTATAAAACTAAACAAAATATTTTAGTAACGATAGGATTGAAAGTTAATTAACGAAATAGAACTTAACGACATCAGCAAGAACTGATGAAACGATTAGGAATAAATATACAAAATTTTCAATGATTAATAATAATCATAAAAATAAAAGTAATAATAAGTAATAATTAATAATAATAATAATAATAATAATAATAATAATAATAATGTTGTTGTTAATATTAATAGCGTTAATAATAAAAAATAATAATAACAATAATAAGAATATTAGCAATTGGGATTGTCATTATAGTAATGAACAGATAAATTATCTTCATTCGTGTTATACAATCATTTGCAGTTCCAACGATTATAGAAATTATTCATTTATTTAGAATATTTTAATGGCTTCTTGGACTTCTTCGAGGACTTCGTTCCAAACCTTGTTGTTTCGTAATGTCACTCGATGATGTCAATGGCTTCTTACCACTTTCGCTACCTTTTCGGGAACGCCAGTAATCTGTAAAAAAAAAAAAAAGCAAAAGAACTAAAATTAATTAATTGTCCAATTAATTTATTTAATTATACGAGAATTTTTTAAATCGTTATAATAATAAAAATACTTGTATTAATTATCCAATGAAAAGAAACAAGAAAATAAAACAAGTGCATACCGCAAGAAAAGAAAAACAAAAAAATAAAGAAGGGAGAACAAAAATACCCTCCTCCCCCAAAGAAACAAATAAAAAATAAAAAAAAATAAAAAGAAAAGAAAGAAAATAAAATGAAAGATAAAGAGTCGTTGGAATAACAAGTATATCTCGTAAGTTTTCTTGTTTTTCTTGTTTCTTCTTGTTGGCTAAGTAAGGCCCCCTAAGGGATTCGGCCCTTTCCCTTTTGTCGACGCATCAGGGACAGCTTATTACGTTGGCATACAACACAACACCTTAACTTCTTGTGCGTATCCAGATCGTCACGAAGTTTGTTGTGTATGCATTTCTATGTATGCGTTTGATATAATAAAGTAAGTAAGAAAGAAAGAAAGAAAGAAAAAGAAAAAAAGAAAAAAAACCCATGAAATTTTCACCGACAATAGGATCTTCGAAATAACGAACGAGGGGACAACACCATCATGACGATGATGTGTCAGGACCTTTTTTTCTTTTCTCTCTTTTTTTTTCTTTTTTCTTTTTAGCATTGGGGAGATTTGGCAGGAACACAAAACGCGTCTTTTGACGTTTTCTTTCCTTATTTCCTTTTTTTTCTTCGATCACAGGTAGTCCTGTCGTTGTCACCTGAACACTCAACCTTTACACCTTCTCTATACGTACGCTTATTCTTTCTTATTCTTTCTTTTTTTTTTTCTCTTTACTTTTTTTTACCTTTACAGACAGGTGATCAAATTTTTCCAAAAAAAAAAAACAAAAAAAAAACAATACGAAAAATTATACAATCTTTTCTATCAATTTCTTTAAACTTGACCTATACGTTAAACCGAATATTAATTTATTTATTGTACTACTTGTACTAAAGATCAATTTTTAAAATGCAATCTAACAATTTGTTCTTTTCAAAATCAAATATGGACGACTCAAGATGGCGCAGGATGTTATAAATATAACCAGATGTATCAACGAACGGTAATTAAGAAAAATAAAAAGTACAAAGTAAGGTTAGGAATGATTGGATAATAAAAAAAAAAAATTATAGATCCATTTGTTTTCTATCTCTTTTTTGATTCTTTTTGTTTGTTTGTTTGTTGAAAAGAAGATGAGAAAGAAAGCAACGTAATAAAGAGAAGAACGGTACAGTAAGAGAACCATATGTTCGGTAAGATCGTGGATCCTCTAGTAATAGTCTTCTCTTTCTTTATTTCTTTCTTTATTTCTTTCCTTATTTCTCTTGAAGCATTGGTTGTTGCTTCGCCATATGGTGTTCGCGAAACCGAGCTTTCTCAGTGGTTCAACTAAAGTTCCTTCTCTCTTTCACATTTATACGAGCAGAAATAGAATAGAAAAAGATAGATAGACGTAATTCTGAGCAGGATTTCATTTGTCAACATCTGTTTCCATGGTTGGGCCCATTGGATGATTCTAATACAAGGAACCTCCTGAAGGAGGTAAACCAATAAGAAGAGCTCCAAATTCTTATCCACTCCCTACTACTACTACTACTACCTGTCCATATGTTTTTGGGGTGGCCTCCATAAAAAATGTTCCACCATGAAGATCTCCCTCTTTCTCTCTCTTTGTTCCCTCAAAGTTTTACGTGTAAGAGATTGGAGTAAGAAAATAAAAAAGAAAAATAAAGTTAGAAGGGATATGTATATATGTATGTACAGAGAGATGAGTATATATAGGTGTGTGAGTGTGCGTGTTCATATCACATAAAAGTAATCCAAATCCTCCTACATAGTTTTTCATACGAACTACGGATTTTTCCTATAGAAATTTCGATGGAAAGGTGAACATACCCGTAAAGCAGGTCTTGCTTTTATTTTTCTTTCACTACAAATTTTATTCTTTTCATCTTCTTTTTTTCATACGAATTGTAAAAGATTCTCCCCTAGGATCTCGCGTACCGATATATATATAATTCTTTTTTTTTCCATGCTAGAAAAAATTTTTATTCACCATTACTATTGTTAGGATTAACGTGAAAGAATAATAATATTCGTATTGGTTGAAAGTTCAACAGAGTTCAATTGAAATTTGTTCAAATGCATTGTAAATCATAGATAAATAATAAAACTTGAAAAAAATAATCAACCTGCCAAGATAAAAAATATAAATACTAAAAAATGAAAGCAGTGTTTCTTTTAAAATGATTACAAAGTGTTAAAACAGGTAGCTAGAACAAAAAGTAGAAGAAACGAATCGATGGATTGGTTGGGCCTTTGTAAGAAAATTTTTTAATGAGGGGGAGGAGATGGAGGAGAAGGAGGAGGAGTAGATTCGACGTGGAAACACTTGGGAAGAAAGAAAACAGATGGTGTACGACCTTCTTAAGGTCCCTGTATGCTGGTTGCACACGGTGTGTTTGTCTCTCTGTATGTGTGTGTGTATGTGTGTTATATGCATTTACTATATCGCGTGTTGTTCTTCGCGGACCTGATTTAATCGTGGGAAAAAGACGATCTGTACGAACCGGTGGTAGTGCCGGTGCTTCTGTTGTTGCTTTTGCTGTTGCCTATTGATATTGCTACCGTTTCAAGCATATCTAACTTCTAAAGAGTGAAACAGGTGTCCCTTAGGAAGAAAATAATAAAAGAAAGAAATAAAAAAGGAGAAGAAGAAGAAGAAGAAGAAGGGTCGAATAAGGTGCCCCATGTGCATTCACACGTACACTTGTTTCTCTATATGAGTATGCGTTTAGCTTATGGTTAGTTGAATTTAACAATTTTTAAAGAAAATAATAAAACAAATCGAATTTTTTGTAAGTATCATCAGCACAATGATTATAATTTGATTACGTTATTGTTTCAACGAAGCATCAATAATTTGAACTCCCTCGTCCCCCCGTAACTAAAATAACCTCAATTAAAGATAAGAGAAATCTTGCATAAGAGAAATAGATGACAAAGAAATATATTGTGCAAGAGATTAAAAGAATGAAAGAACAAAAATAAAAGAAACAAATTAATGACCGGACCGTAGGAATTCCTGGTGGATGCTTTTTGTCATTGGAATGTTTAGTATCTCTTGACGAGTATGTTACGCATTAAAAATAAAAAGAAAAGAAGAAAGCAAAAGGATTAAAAAGAGAGAAAGAGTTATTTTTTTTGTTGATCTTTTGTTTTGTTTTTTTTGACATTTAGTTTGACTGTGGTAATAATATCCGTCTTGCATGAAAGCGTGTGAACGGTACATGTGCAGAAAGTCTGATGAGGGATCTCTTTTCTCTCTCTCTCTCTCTCTCTCTCTCTCTCTTTCTCTTTCTCTCAAGGCACCAAAAGTATTCAAGGAATGCGATAGTAAGTTCGTTTTACTCCTTGAAAACTGGGGCCCCTTTTCGATGAGTCATTTTCGAAGAGAGTTGAGTAAGAAAGAAAGGAGGGTGAGAGTTAGGGAGTTAGGGAGAAAGATCCTACAGGTATGTATTTCACATCGCCCACCCATGAGAGTATAGATGACTCATATTTTAGAAAAAGAAAAAGAAACAAAATGAGAGCGTGATTCATTCGATGAACAATTCCATGCATTTCTTTTATCTCACCAGGTAGAGTTCATATACAAAATGAATATTTCTCACGATTCAATCGTGTCCATTTTTTGTTTTGTTTTTCTTTCATCATTTTTTATGAACCCACATGCAACGTATATATTTTAATGTTTATAGTTTGTACAGTAAAATGGGTGTTCAGTAATTTGTCAATTTACTTTGTATTTTATTAATTATAAACAAATACTTTCAATTAATTACGATGGCCTAATTTGATATATAAATTCAAACAAACAAAAAAAAAAGTAAACAAGAAAAGGAACGAGAAATGATATTTGTCCGAAGATGAGAATACGATGAAAAGATTTGGGCACTAGAAAGAGTTTCGAAACGATGCTGGTGATGATGCTGATGATGATGGGGATTGGGTCAAGGAGAGGGGAGAAAGAGGCATAGATCCCTCGACGCGTAAGACGAGAAGCCAAAAAAAGAAAAAGGAAGAGACATCAATAGTAGTAGTAGTAGTAGTAGTAGTAGTAGTAGTAGTAGTAGTAGTAGTAGTAGTATTAGGAGTAGTAGTAGGAGTAGCAGGACGAGGAGAGAACGGGGATGAAAGGGGGCATAGTAGTAGAAGTAGTAGTAAAAGAAGAATACCAAGGGGAAGGGGTTGGAGCAAAGGGAGAGAAGGAGAGAAGGCGGAAGAGACAAAGAGGAGTGTGTGCGAGGTTAGAATAAGAAAACAGGTCGGAGAGCCACGCGACCGGCCTGCGCCTGCGCGTTTGTTTCTCTTTTCCTTTTCCTCCTTCCCGTCTCTATCTCCTCTTCGTCTCTTCTTCGTCTCCTCCTCTTTCACCTCCTCTTTCACCTCCTCTTTAACCTCCTCTGTCTCTTCTATCCCCTCCAACAACTGGGTACATCGTCACACGAAGCAACATTTCGTTTCCCGCCAAAAGTCCGCCACGAGACTCGCCTCGCATCGTTTCCCGCGAAAAACCTGCCTCCACCACTAGGCCCGCACGCACGCACACTCCTTCTTTCCCGCCAAAAAATTGCCACGAGGCTTTCTTCTTATCTGACTACTTTGATTTTTATTATTATTTTCTTTTATAGTCGATACATTTGATATGAACCACCTCAATTCGAGTGAAATAGATTTAATAATTATAAATTGTGATGCAATAATTGTTCAATGAAAAGTAATTTATGATTTACCGTTTATGTTTTCAAATGATAAAACATTTCAGACATATCTTGGCTAATTATAGTTGCCTAGCTAAGTAAAAATCTACTGTTTTTTCCCCCTTTTTTTTCCCTCTTCTTCTTCTTCTTCTCTTCTTCTTCTTCCAAAGACATTCTCTTTTGCGTCAGAGTTGGAATATGTACGATGACTCGTTTTGTCGTTGATATCATCCAATCGGGTGATGTTAAAAAAAGATAAAAAGAGAAAGGAAAAACGTCTGTAGAAAGGAAAGAAAGGGAGAAACAAGTAGCTAAAATAAATGGAGACTTTTCTAACAGAAACGTTTCGAACGTTAGACGTAGATAAAGTTTTCGAAAACACGTAGATATGAACAAGAGAAAGAGATAGAGAGAAACAAAATATTTGTCCTAAGATAAAATTTGGACACGCTCGTGTCCTCCATTAGCCTGAGTCAGCGGGTCGCGTCTACCGTTTTACCAAAATCCTTCATCCTTTGAACAATCCTAAACCTTTTCTTTATTTTCTTTAGGAAAACAAGATAAACGGGTATACCTATTGGTCAAAGTACACATGCCAATAGAAAATAATATCAAAAGAGAATAGTTAAATCTTATCGACAGATCATCTATTGAAAACTTAAGACCTGATCGTATCGAAGCACTTAAATCGAAGCCTTAATCAATCCCAACTAAAAATATCCATTTCCCGCCAAATTGTATTCCAACAGAAATTCATGATATTTTCGTGGGAAACAATTTACACCTAATCGTAAAATAAAAATATCTGCATGCATTTTGATTTGATATAACTTACCGTGAATATTGGTCTGCTTAGAGTAAGGACTGGAACGTTTTTTCGGCGTATGCTCGTTGTACGACCACCGACAATCATTTTCTTTATTTTCCGAGCAAGGATCGATTCCCCATCTTCTGGCAAATCGTTTTCTCTCCGTATCCAAAGCCTCTTGCAACATTTCCGCGGTTTCCCGAGAATTTGGTGATCCAAATAGGCAACGAGATACACGAGATGATGCATTAAATGAAGAAGCAGCGTTAGCAGAAGCACCACCACCACCACCTCCGTTCCTGCCACCATTCATCGTCGTATTACTTGGTAACACAGTGAAGTGCACCTCGCGACAGATCGAAGTAGCCAACATCTCGTCCCCTTCTTTTATTTTCACTTGGTCGAGCGCGGTCTCTCTTCGTCGATTAAACGACGAGAGAGGGATAGATGTTGCTGTTGTTGCTGCTCTTCCCGCCACTTCTTCTGCTGCTTCTGCTGCTGCTGCTGCTGCTGCTGCTGCTGCTGCTGACGATGACGATGACGATGACGATGACGATGACGATAAACTAACTGTTCGACATTTGAAAGATCCTCGAATTCGAGGACGTGGTCGAGGTTCGAAATGTTCTTTTCTTATTTGATCCACGATTTCGGAATATTTAACTTATTCGTGCTACCACCAAAATGGCAGCTTGAAACTTTTCCCGCGCACTTTCGTCTGCCTGTCTCTCTCGCTCTTTCTCGTTCCCTCCCTTTTGTATTTCCTTGATATTAATATTCTTTTTCTTTTTATTTATTTATTTATTTATTTGTTTTTTTTTTTACAATTCTTACGCAAATTATTTGAAAAGATCAAAATCTTTCTCTATCTTTCATTTGCAAATATTGTATTAAAGTTCAAGGATCTTTTTTCCTTCAAGATATCATAATCCCTTTTCTAATTGTTTCATTCGTTAATTTTTATTCGATATTGTAAAATCTGATATTTTTACCTTTCTTTCTTTTTTTCTTTATTTCTTTCAAATAATCACCATATATAATGTTGTTGGCCTCTTGACAAATTTCTATCATTCGAAGTCACTAAATTTCTTCTCTATTAGTTTCGAGATTACGATAATAATCCTTTGTTAATTTGCTTAGAATTTTTTCTATAAAATTTCATAGAAAAATCTTGGATATATGTCGCGTTATGAAAATGATATGGGGTCCCGTAGAAATCTCGACGTCTGTGCCGTACGACGGTCGGACTCGTTCTGGTTGTTCGTACGTAAAGAAACTACAGAATAGTCTGGGCTTGAACCCAAGTTCTTTGCTGATGAGATGGTCGTCGTCGTGTCGTAGTAGAGGTGTGTGTTCGCGTCAGTGGTGGTGGTGGTGGTGGTGATGGTACTAGTGGTAGTAGTAGTAGTAGTGGCAATGGTGACGGTGATGGCGATGGCGATGGTGATTGTAATAATAACGATGGTAGTAGTGGTGCGATGGTTGGGTACTGTGGTGGTAGTGGTAGGATTTCAGGTTCGTCGTTAGAAGGTAGCAAGCAAGGGAAAAGGCCTGAGGAGGAGGAGGAGAGTCCACGAGGAGAATCTGCCTTACACGAATACCACCTCCACCGGTTCCAGAACAGAATTCAAATCTGATTGGTGCGCGGGATTGGTTGCGCAGTAAAAATGGCGCGCGATTTACCCTCTTTCTCTTACTTATTCCTAACGGCTATCTTACTGTCTCTCTCTCTCTCTCTCTCTCTCTCTGGTTTTTTTTTCTTTCTTTCTTTCTCTCGAGCACTTTGTTGAACTGTGGGCCACGTTTCTTCATTTTACCTCACTCTCTCTCTCTCCCCCTCACCCTCTCTCTTTTTCTCTCCCCCTTCCATTTTATTTAGACGTTCACTGTGTATCTGCGCGCGCTCGCGTGTTTCTCTCTCTCTCTCTCTCACATACGAGAAACATTTCTTTTATTTTTATTTTTTTTGTATTTTTTCTTGTATCTCTTCTCTGTCTTTCTCATACAGTAGTGGCTCCAACGGATTATGCTAAGCGATTTCGTTCGAGTAGAGGAGAGGAGAGTACCATGGAAGAAGAAGAAGAAGAAGAAGAAGAGGAGGCTCGCGCCATAAAGCCTAACTTTTTTTTTTTGTATTTCTTTTTCTTAAGTAGCACGACGTATAGAGCGATCACGAAGTGCTACGCGTGTTCAACGTTTTGCCAATATTCAGGGATAATGTTTCTAATCGATAATTTTGTTTAATGTGCGTTATTATTGTATTTCAGTTTGTTTCTTTTTTTTTTCGCTGGGAGAATCGGACAATTTGTGCTGCTTTTAGTTGTCCAAATAAAAAACAAAAATGTTCAATCCTACGATTAAATTTTAGCGATCGATTATTCATAATGTTTATTATTATTTATCGAAATGTGTTGTTAGTAATATACAGAAATAATACGACTCATATATTAATGCACAATTTTTAGACCCATAGGTCTGAAGAAGGAAAAAAAAAACAAACCAAAAAAATAATCCATAATTTAAAGTCAATCATTTTATTCGTTCGACCAAAAGAAATTTCTCTTGGCAGGTGGAAGGGATTCAGCACGTGTACATGTGTTCCTTTATGTGTATGTATTAGAGTGAGAAAGAGAGAGAAGACACTAGGAACGAGTTCCAAGCAGAAAATTGCCCTTCTCTTTGAGTCTCTCAGCATCGATCTTCCTAGCTCGGCAAAATGTGATGGCAAAGAGAAAAATATAAGAAATTGAAGAGAAGGAAAGGGAAAGGGAAAGGGAAAGGGAAAGGAAGGGATGAGGAAGAAAGAAAGAAAGAAAGAAAGATAGAATGAAAGAAAGATAGCAAGCACACCGAATCATCGCTTCGCGTTTTCCGCTCGATCGTATCTTGCCAAGGGCTGCTCGATTAAATCGCAGTAGCAGGTGCCCAGAACGCATCAAGAGAAAGACAGAAGGATTCTAACTAAAGAGAAAAAGAGAAAGAGAGAGAGAGAGAGAGAGAGAGAGAGAGAGAGAGAGAAAGATACTGGGATGTAGTCTGACATTAAGCGACCACGAAAAACGGGGACCAATTATGGTGCTACGACGACGAGTGTCTTTTAAGTTCTCTCTCTCTCTCTCTCTCTCTCTCTCTCTCTTTCTCTCTGCGCTTACCGTATGTATGTGTGTGTGTGTGTGTGTGTTGGTTGCCAGGCACTGATTTACTTTTATTGCCGTCCTTCGTGTAACTTTCTATCTCTCTCTTTCTCTTTCTCTTATTATTATTATTATTATTATTATCTTTTTCTTTTCTGTTTTTCTTGTTTTCTTTTTTATTCTCTTCTTCTCTTGTACATAATCTTACTAGCATCGAAATTATTCCAACGAAAGACCTTCGATAGCTCACGAATGGTTTTTACAAACTCTATCTTTTCGTTTAATCTTGAAAAAAAAAAAGGGAAACATAACTTGGGTACTTTGATTCGATTTCATTTTTTCTTTTTTTTTTTGGTTCGGTTACACAAATTTGAAATAGTAAAAAAAGAGAGAAACGGAGAATAGATCTTTTTGATTTTCAATGCAGAGTTGTTGAAGCATCCATTGGTATTGAGTAAACGTCAAGGTTATCTTCTTTAAAAATAATGGATAATATTTGAAATAAACAGTCGTTTAAAAGAAGAAAAAAAATATTCATATTGTATATCCCACTTAAGTTAATGCAATTTGATATTCCATTGATGAGGGTTGTGAAAAAAAGGGGTGTAGCAATAAGTAACAAAAAAGGTAACCGTATCGGCAAAGCAAAATGATGGGGGTAGATTTAACGGTTAGAAAAAGAAAAACATCGTAGCTAGTGGGGAAAAGGAAGGAGGAAGGGAGGTGGTTAATGCTAAGGGTTGGAAGATTGCATTGAGTTGCGTGCATTTTGAGAAAAGTGGGCACACGTGTGTGCACGCGTGCAACACTCAACACACACAGAGACAGGTGAAAATACCGTGACCGTCGTGGTCACTCTACCCTAACACGATCTTTATCGTTCAAACCTTTTCTCTGAGGGCTTTTTTTTCTTTTCTTTTTCTTTTCTTTTTCTCTCCGTGATTTCATCCAAATTTTGGCAGCACAAGTCATTCGTTTTTATTTGAAAATGATTTCTTCGAAATATAACATAATATGATTGAAATCATTTTGTAATTATTTAAATAACAATTACGACAGTTTTATTATTCATACATTTTTCAATACACCTATGTCATTTGAATACTTGAAATAATAATCATTTAAATTTAAACAATAAAATGTTCTCGAGTTCGTACAAGAAAAGAAGTTCAATAAAAAATGATAGATCACATTTGTAATCGTATCATGCTATCAATCAACCGAAAATGTCTACCCGTGTGTGTGATCAATTATTATCAAAATATTAAATCATCCGTCAGTCTATTCAACAATCAGATAACATCCATGTCAATTTATGCTCATATTATACTTGCATCTTTAATAACAGATAATCAAGAATAATCTCTTTTTCATTATTTCATACTTCCTTTTATTTTCTAAAATTTTTTACAATCATTAATCAAGAGTTGCTTTAAAAATCAATCTCTTTTAATCAAAATTTGTATTATTTATTTGATCATAGCCATCGTTAGGCATTTAACAATTATGAGAACGTACGTGTATCAATATCATGGTAACCATGAGGGGGAAATTATTTCATAGGAATGAATTTCTCCCCCACCGTGTGTATCGTGTTCCCTCTCTCTCTCTCTCTTTCTCTTTCTCTTTTGCTAACTTATTTCCGGTGTTGAAGGAAGACAAACGAGTGAAGCAGAGACCGGAACACAACACGGACGCTTCGTGTTCCTTTCCTGGGAATACTTTGCTGACGTCACGATACGTATCAGAGCCGAAAAATAAAATTCAAAACAAAAACTAAAAAAAAAAACAAAACAAAAAAAAACTAGAAAGAATAAAAAGACACAAGCAAAAGTAAGATCGAGGGTTGGAAGGGAAAGAGGGGGAAAGGATTCGCAGGGGTTTCTCCCACCACTCTTCTTCTCTTCTTTTTCAGCAGGATGTAGTTAATACCAGAGCACCTTTTTTTTTTCTTTTTTTGAAGATTATTAGATCTGCCTCAACGATCATTTTCCAGACTTACGAACAACCTAATTGAAAAAGGAAACTCGTGTATATAAATTCATTATTACTATCATAATTATTCGTTTGTTTTATTCAAATAAATTATTTTGTTTTATTTTTTGTTATTTTATGATTTAATTTGTTTGAACAAACAGTTGGATTTATTTGTGTTAATTCTTTTAACACGTTCCGTGCCAAAAGCACTTTTTACCTGATTTGTCATTCATATTTTTTAGTATATTAACACGTTCTATGCCACATGTACCATTTATGGTACACATTAAACTTGACCATTAGAAAAGAAACAATTGAAGAAACATTATTGAAAAATCGTTTAAATTGAGAAG